GGGGGGGACGGACGGACGGACAAGAGCACATAAGGCTCTTTCCCCAGTTAGTGGAATTTTTGCGAAAGCGCTGAAATGGCCTCCTCGTGCAAGAGCCGCCGCGTCCCTCCTGCAGCGTGGCTTTCCGGTCTCCCCAAAATACTCCCCGGACGATGAGCCTTTTGACTGCTTTTAGTTACAAATGGATTAAGGGGATGGAAAAAGCAAATATCTTGGGTTTATTTACGGCGTGAAACTGGAAGAAGCTTCACATTTCCTGCTTTTAGGGTTGTTTTTTTTTTTTTTTAGTGCCCCAGCTGCTTTTGCTGCGGTTTCGCCATTTGTCGGACTCGAAGCCTGGCAAAACGTCGCCGTCTCCGGCTGGCACGGTTTGCCACCGCAGCCTCACCAAGGCTCTCCAAATCAGCCCGCTGCTCTCGCACAAGCACGGGGAATAAAGACATGGCAGGCGCAGAGCCGGAGTGAGCTGCAAGACTGGCTTCGTGTTCATGAATGTTAAGATGATGAATTAAATATGAATTTTGTTTCAGGCGTAACTTCAAAATCACCAAGAGACCCGACGCGCTTGTGTTGCATAAATGCTCGGCGTGTTCCTTAACACGATAGTTCGACTCCCTGGGACATAGGCTTCAGGATAGGAAGGGATTGAGCGTTTATGCAGTTCGAAAAGCAGATACACCTCTCCTCTGCCTTTTTTTGAAATGTACTTACACGTTTTTAGCTGACCGAGTTAGGGCCCCTGGGTGCTGGGGCGTTTTCTGCAGGGGAAGCGTCGTCTCCGAGCCCGCTAGCTCTGCCTTATTAATCTTTCATGTCCTGATAGCGATATTTTGTGACTGACAGCTGGCAGGACAGGACTGGAAGAAGCTGGCCGGCTCTTTTATTTACTGTTCACCATCTTCAGTTCAAAATGAAAAAAAAGGCAAAAATCTCTAAAATGGGGAAAAAAAAAACCCAAACTGTACAAGAGTTACGAGTTTCTTGCCCTCAGGTTTTTGGCTATATTTCCCCTGAACACAGCTCAGGGCTGCGGCACCGTCTCACACTCGGCTTTAACCTCACAGCAATACTCGCTGCCCTCTCAACCGTGAAAGGCGGAGCGGCTTCATCCCCCCAGGCCTG